GATTAGGAGTGGGTGTGGCTGGAGTGGGCGTGGCTTGTTCAAGGCGTGTCACGAGTGGGCGTGGCTTCATTTGGTGCACAACCTGAATGACAAAGTGGGCGTGGTTTCTCTTAAAGGGCCAGAACCCCAGAAATGCGGATGACAAGCGATTAGGGGTGGGTGTGGCTGGAGTGGGCGTGTCTCGGGTGGGTGTGTCCGGGTGTGGGCGTGTCCCACCTGAGGGCGTGGCCGCGGGGCCCGCCCAGGAACTGGTGCAGGTCTCCGTGCTCCATGTACTCGGTGACGATGCACAGGGGGCCGGGCCCCGCGCACACCCCCAGCAGCCGCACGATGTTGGGGTCCCGCAGCCGGCCCAGGGTGCGCGCCTCCTGCAGGAAATCCCGCCTGGCCCCGCCCCCGGCACAGGTATCAGCACACCTGGGCACACCTGGGCACACCTGGGTACACCTGGGTATGCCCTGGGTACACCTGGGTATGCCCAGGGTGCGCGCCTCCTGCAGGAAATCCCGACTGGCCCCGCCCTCAGCATGACATCAGCACAGCTGGGCACACCTGGGTACACCTAGGTACACCTGGCTATGCCCTGAGTACACCTTGGTACACCTGGGCACACCTGGGTATGCCCTGAGTACACCTTGGTACACCTGGGCACACCTGGGTACACCTGGGTCCAGGTGAGCCCTCCCCAGGTGAGGTCGGTCACACCCAGAACCCCCTTGGGGCTCTGTGCCCACCCAAACCCCTCCCCAAAAGAACCCCTGGATCCCTCCCAGTTTATCCCAGTTTATCCCAGTCCATCCCAGTCCATCCCAATCCCCCTCCCAGTCCCTCCCAGTCCCTCCCAGTCCATCCCAGTTCCCCCAGTTTCCATACCGGGCGTTCTTGGTGGCGTCCGGCCGCAGCACCTTGACCGCCACCAGCAGGGGGCGCCCTGCGGCCGAGGGGGCGGGGCCTGACCCTGGGGGCGTGGCCAAGTCCAGGGTGTGGGGGGCGATGACCTCACACAGCAGCACCTGGGGGCGGAGCCAAGGGGAAAGGGGGCGTGGCCAAACCGTGAGGGTGTGGCCAATGAAAAAGGGAGGTTTTAAAAAATGAGGGCGTTTCTGAAGCGCTGGGGGCGTGGCCTCGATGTGGGTGGGGCTAAACCAGAGCTGGGTGGGCAGGGCCAAACCCAAGGGGTGTGGCATTGAAAAGAGGCGGGGCCAAACAATTGTGGGTGTGGCCTTAAAAGGAGGCGGGGCTAAACCATATGGGGGCGTGGCAAATCATTTGGGCCTGGGGGCCAAACCATGGTGGGCGTGGCTTTAATAAGGGGCGTGGCTAAACCCGCATTTAGGAGCAGGATTAAATCCTTAAAGGGCGTGGCTAAGCCCTGGCGGGCGTGGCCTCAATGGGGGCGTGGCTGATCCCTGATGGGTGTGGCCTCACTGGGGGCGTGGCTTACCTCTCCGAACTGCCCCTCCCCCAGCTTTTCCCGGAAGCGCAGGCAGTGCCGGGGGAAGGAGGGGAGGGCGGGGCCGTGGGCGGGGCTGTGGGCGGGGCCTGCCAGGGCGTAGGCGGAGCCTCCGGTGACGTCAGCCTCGGCGTAGGCCCCCGCCCCCCCCTCGGGCTCACCTGTGCAGGTGGGAGAGGTAGAGGTGAGGTGGGCGTGTCTAAAGTGGGCGTGGCCCTCTCTTAGCCCCGCCCTTACCGTCGGTGTTGATTGGTTTGGCGCCGTCGGGCGTGGCCCGGGCGAGGCCTCCCATTGGTCGGGCGTAGGTGGCCAGGAGCAGCCGATAGGCCGGATTGGCTGGGGAGGGGTGGGGTGGGTGTGGTCAGAAAGGGGCGTGGCCTCCCTCCCCCTCCCCATTCCCAAGGGATTTTTGGGGTCATTTTCAGCTTTTTCCTCTTTCCCGGAGCCATTTTT